TAAATTTTCAAGTGATTCGGTTAATAACAAGACTAATTAATTATCAATTTAATGCTCATTGCAATTTTATTATATTAGACGGAATCGTTCTTTGTCAAAATGATAAAAAAATGTACACGAAAAGGGCAATTTTGCTAAAACAAAATAAAAATTGCAAATTAAAAATTTTGTCGGATATAGATATGAAAATAATTTTGTTGAATCATCCAAATAATATATGTAAGACGCTCAAATTTTTACAATATTTTACATAATTATTTTGATAGTCCAACAATATTATTTTCTGGTCCGTATTCAACAAAATCTTCAAATACTTCAGCAAAACGGATTTTTTTTCCACGTGGCTCAAGTGACCAAGACGCGTTTTACGACACCCAAACGTGACGTAGCTTGATCGGTGTTCGACCGATATAATGATGACGTAGCCAGCGGCCAGGCCCGGTGACCTAACTTCCGTCTGGCCTAATCGCGTTGTACTGTTGTTCCCCAGCACCAAACTCCTGCGCGCTCAATTGCCGTGCAGTCGGCGAGCGTTTTTACGCAACGCTTGAACCGGCAGTAATGGACGGCACGCCCTGCGATGCTCCGAATCTTCGCGGACGCGCCGGCGGCGGGATTTCGTCGGAACGCAACGGCGAACGGTGGCTCTGCGTCGCCGGACAATGCAAGGTATATGAATAGCGCTAAGGTTAAGCGAGAGACGCCGATGCCGGAAATTAATGACCGACACCGGGCCGATACGCGGATACGATACGATCGACGAGATCGCTATTGACCCGTGTTCTCGGCCCTTGGTCACACGCACACGCCGATCCTCTCCCGTTCCTTTCTCTATCGACGTCGAGGTTCATCGGCACGCCCGTGTACGTAATTCGGTCAGATGCGTTTATCAATCAACAATGATGCTCGAGCCTCCTCGGTTTCGTCGAGATTCTAACGGCGCGGAAGAGATGGACGTGTTGTTCTCCCGCTTTTCTTGAGCCAAGAGAAACGAATCTACAATCGGAATTTTCCTCTAACAAAAATCTTGAAATTTATCGGCAACTATCTCTTTTTTAAATGAACAGAAATTATAAAAA